AAAAAAAAAAAAAAAAAAAACACATCATAGTAAAACCAATACCTTCTCAGCTTCGCATCGAAGCTAAAATAGATGTATTGCTAAATAAAAACAAGTATATTTATAGTATTAATTATAAGTTCAAAATCTCTAGATAAAATGTTAAATATTACATTAACAAATCATTAGCAAAATATCAGTTATTCCTTTATAAATTATGTAAAGAAATACTTTTTTGTGAAGTATAAAAAAAGAAATGTTTCATCTTATTAGATTTTTAGGCGGTCATACTATATTGTTAATTTTCCAAAATTAAATGTATAACGCATCGGATATAATTAGTTATAACTTTTATTAAGTTTCTTTTATAAATAAGAAGTATGTAACAAGGATCTTTATTTTCTTTTTCTTATACATTCCAAATAAGTCAATGTAAATATGTTTATATTTTAAAGTTTAAAATTTCAGCTCTTTGATTGCAATACTTAATACAAATAATATAATTACAATATTATCTCATAAAATAATGATTACTTCTATATTATTAGACTTGGATACTTATTCTCATACATTTCTTTGCGTAAGTTCCTACAAATATACGTTTTATTTGATTACAAATATTTAATTATAGTTGATTACTCAATACAAAATTTTTAATTATATACTTCCAAACTACACGTTTGTGTATACACTAATTGATGTAGTTATACATTTTACATTTAAAATAAGTTATTAGGCGTATTGGTTGATTTAGTTGCATCTATATTAAACACATAATAAGATGTAATAAAATTTTTGTAACTCAATAATTCTAATGTTTTTAGTTTTATTATGCGTAAATTATTTTTTTTATTAAGCTTAAATTGCATTTTTAACTAAATAAAAAATTGTAGAAAAAAATTCACCGCCAATTTAAATAACTTATTATAATTTCATAATCGGATTACAAGAGCTACCTCGATAATAATAAAGTGATACATTTAACTATACTTTTTTGAAAAAATGTTGAAAATGAAAGTCTTTGCGACCACTTCAACCACTCCACTTCATCTATACAATTTAAGAGATGGGCATATATAATAGATGTCTGGGAACCAGACCTAGGCAATTGTAAATGTGAATGGTTAACTACCACAACATTCGTAGTTATACTTAATTTTTATTACTGTACATTGTAACATTGTGTGTTCAAAGTGATTAGGAATTTTTTTTTTTATACATTAATCGATCTCTAGTCAGTCTTGCCAAAAGGGGTTTTTTTAAGAACAGGATACAGTCAAGTAAGTAAAAATATTTCTAACATTTTAAATAAATAATCCGTAATATGTTACACATATTATACTTATAAAGATTTGTGTTTCAAACGAAGTTCAATTTAAAACTTTGTAAAATTTATTAGAATATAAAAATTACAGATCATCAACCAAAATAACGTTACAAATATTTACACTCAAAATAATAGTGAACTTTACACTAATTCATTCAAGTGTATTTATTTGCTAGTTACTAAAATATAACTATTTAAAAATCAATGTTAATATTTGTATATAATTTTCAATATGTATTTATTAGGTGGATATTTCCCATAGTATATTTGGAATTCACATACAGATAACTTTTTTTAATAAAGTCAAACAAAATAACATTTACATAAAATGAACATAATTTAAGGAGTTAATTTAAATTTATAAGATTTTGAATACAGTGTAGTAATGAGCTAAGACAAATTTCGATCTGAATAATGAATGTATTACTTTATTGATCTTAACTTTTTTATGACGTATGACTTAGTTGCACAGCAACGCCTCATAGATTTTTTATTTATTACCATTCAACCTAACTATAATGTACACGAGACGTAGGTACAAAGGTTTTTGTAGGTGACGTTTATTGTTAGTTAAAATTAATTTCAAGAGTTTACTTTGTATCTACGATCCCTGAAGGGTTTGGTTTAGCCTATGTGCCATGATATAGTGTACAGCCAATGCCGGGGGTATGCATTTTTAACCAGACCAAGTACTTCCATCATAATAAGCAAGTAGCTTTGGGATATATATATACATAAAGTTATATATTTCTTTTGTAAATTGTCTTTTGATCTACTTTCCAATGTCAAGTGTTTTAAAGTTTGTAAAAATAATGTAAATTGTATTTTAAACAAAACACGTTATAAAATTTAATACTTGTAAACTAATAATACTAGTATACACAGTAAACGCGTACTAAAAAAAGGAACACTTCTATGCTCGTTAAGCTGTGTGGGTAATCTACACCATCTAAGTTCTCACGGGGTACCTGCCAATTCTAATGTAAAAATTATTTTCACGGAAATGTATGCGAACTTCTAATACATCCGCGTTTAGTTATGTTGCTAGATAAACAAACAGAATAATAGTGAAACGGTTTATTTTTTGCGTCTAGAATAAATCTTATGTAAAATCAAAGAAATATAAAAACAACAATTTTATGTGAATGTTAGGTCTTTGATTTGGTATGTTTCAAGATGACGTTGTTATTAAGTAACTCTACAAAGACTATAGTTCATTTAGTAGTAACAGTTTTTGCGATTGATGCAAATATCCGGTTGTTACCATATGACATATAATGCTGTTTCGGAAGTCAGCCCGTTCGTGGCAAGATCGTCAACGGTTAAAGGCATATGGTGTAGTCGAGTGTCGTTACTCAGACAGTATTTAGGGTCGTGATATTTGAAAATTCATCCGAGAAAAATTTATAGCGTTTTTCTCGTAGTAAACCGACTGGAGATTATAACGCGTGACCGCACTATTTCTATTCAATGCTAGTGTGATTCGATGAAAGATGCTTACGAGACTGAATAACGATTGTCGAAGATGTAAAAACTATAAAAGTTGACGGCACAAACTTGTACATTCTTACATACTTCCGGTGTTATCATCACGAGGTAGCCACCGACGTTTTTTGTAATAACACAATCTAACGAAATCGTGTGAGACGTTTGACTTTCGCCCGCCGTCGGGTCAATGTAAAAGTTCAATTGAGCCCATGCAAAACAAAAGTCAGTATAGCTAAAGGCCGGCAGTTTGCCGCTCACAGTGAAGAGGTCGTTAAATTGCGTCATATGTTTTTTATTATGTACAAATAATATACTTAGTATATACTAATATAAATTGTTTACGAGAGCGTATACTCGAGTGGATTGTATTTTTCTTGATCCTGACGCCTCGTGAAAATTTGCCGAACCCTCAAGTATTTTTGATTAAGAGAGTTTACCATTTTCAGAGCACATCTAACCGACCGCGTGTTTACCTAATGCAAACATTAACAATTTCCATTCAACTGACTAGCCGATAGCATGTGGAATTGACAAAAACAACTGCCAGCGTCTATTCGTATGCAAATTTCGACGAAAATTCGGATCACGATCGGATGTTCAGTGTCAACGCGACAGATGACTAATCAAAAACCAATTTGGCAATAATGAGTGCCCGAAATGCTAATTTAACTCGCTAAAACCGAAAAATAAATCACGTTGCGTCGGGGTAATTGGTCGTCGTGTGCGGATCGTGATTATTCGAGAGACGCTTTCACAGAACGGCTGACCTTTACCTCGGCCGGGTCAAGTGACTTATGCATTTTCACTTTTCCTCCACTCGTGCACACAATGGGCCTATAAGATTATAATAGTCTATAATTCTGTACAAGATCACCGGCACTTATATCTGCCATGCTTCAAGTACAATACTCGCCATGACAATAATAACACATCACAACATTAGAGGATCCGTAAGAATGGGTTTGAAGAGTTATGATATGCCAAATTTCAAATTCACGTACGCACTAGAAATAATAATGCGTTCTATTAATACAACAATCAGGTTGTGCAAGATAAGAATGAAATATTTTAAGTAAATCTCTGAAATCCTTGCATATAAAAAAATTACAATTAAAATCAACCGAAATCGCGGTGGAACCATCTTTATGGAGTCTCACGGTTATAAATTAATAAGACTCAGTTGAACCGTGTGGAAACTGCATCAAATACTTTTTGCGTAACGCTATGTGTTAAACATATTATATTAATCCAACGAGGTGATTCAATTAAAACCACGTGTGCACTAGTTTTGCTCAGGAGATTCTTCATTGCCGAAAATTCTCACCCGTCTCGGATGGTTGTACTCGGTAAATTATTGCACACGTTATCTTATAAAAATATCTATAAATTATACTGTGTACGCATCTCCGTGTCCTTAAAATGATGATCGATAAGTACTAAAAATATAAAAACATTCGCAAATGGTTTATTCATGCCGTAAAACGTTGTCAGTTAAATCAACGTCGACAAAAAACAGCAATAAAAATAGCTGGTCTATAAAAATTTGACGGGTCGTTGTTACGGTGCTTAACACATCAACCAGACGGTTGTTTTTAAGTAAACTGACAGATATTATGCGGGCGTAGTTTGTTTAATAACCCGAGTCTTATTAATTGGCTTAGGTGTACTCTTAAAAATTTAAATAAATGTACTTTTTTCCACCCGACATTTGATTATATATGAGCACGTTTCTTCTCTCGACTACATTTTCACTTACATTATGGTATTACGTTCATTATATAATATTATTTAAAGTGATAAAAAGAAAAAATACATTAACAGTAGTACTCATGGCAAATTAGTAAATCCTTTATATCTACAAAAAGAGGAAACCTAGAGGAAACAAGACAATTATGTCTGGATCATGAGAAAAAATCTAAATCTCATTGTGTGTTAAGTATCAATAAAAACAGAGTATTTATTACAAATAGTGGTAAATTTCGTAGAACTCCAAGAGAATACAATTCTAAATGAATTTACAGATATTACAGGATTGTAATAGTTTGAATTGAATTATTCGCAATGGAAATTATTATCTTTTGAACCTTGGGAATTTGAAATTGAAAAAAAGAATAAATAATTTAACATGAAAACAAGGTGAGAGGTTATATTTAAATTTCATTAAAATAAAGAAGCAGTACGCAATCTTATCTGATAATCTTTGGGTTTTTGCGTTATCGAGATTGAACACAGTTTTTTTATAACATAATCTCAGAAATTCGATAACATTTTCCACGTTAATTTTTTCAATTCTTAGTATTTTTACTGGCTAGGTGGTACACGTCTTTATTACGGTATAATATGATTTGCTCCTACTGAATAATCGATTTCATACTAGAAAATTCAACATTATACATCGAAATTTAAGCTATCATTCTTAATATTATTTTTAATCAAACAAACATCTTGTCTATCATTAAAAACAGTTGGTATTTTTTTGTTTATTTATTTTCTAAGCGAACTTCGTTTTTAGAATGTATTATGCAATCAACAAATTAATTTGTATCACGTTGGAAACATAATGAAAATGTCACAACTTATACGTAACAATCATAAAATATTTTAATTGTAAAGTCTAGGGGAAGAACCTGAGCAATGTAATGAACATCATAATCGATTTATACAATGGTCAAAGTGCTTAAAATCGTTAAAAAAAATATTAATAAAATTTAATTCTAACCTAAAATACTTGCGAATTTCTGATGTTTTTTTAATTTTGAATTCGTTATTATTAAAAAAAAATATTATAATTTAACGACTTTACTAGAATATAATAATATCTAATATAACTTTAATGATGTTATAACGTGCATTATCACAGTAATAAAATAAAAAATAAGTAATGAAAATTTTTATACTAACTGCATACCAAAAATGGTTTCTTGTGAGAAATTTACGAAACAAATATACACTAGACTAGCATCAAATATAATAACAAGCATATTACTTTATAGTTTCCAGTTAATGCACACGAACACATCGAACATAAGGTTTTCGTATTACTATGATTATAGTTTACCTATATACAACATTGATCTCATCAATACGATTTATTTGCCTTAAAGGAACTCTGAAAAGAAAATGATTCCGATAAATCATATGGGAAAATACACGCGAGGAAAAAAATATCTTCAGATCGGAAAATCAGTAGATAGTTGTTTGAAGAATTGAATGAATAAAAAATCGGTTATTTTAATATATTTGAAACTTTTGCTACTGGATTTTCGCTTCCGGAAGCAATATGGTTTTGTCGCGTGTAAAAGTAGGGTTCTAAAAATCTAATAACGTAGGCAGAAATCCTAAACTTATATTTACCAACACGTTTCGGGACGCGTTCGCTATTTAAGATTGTTGTGGTCTTCTTTTTTGTGGAAAGTACTTGGAAAACTTTCGTATTAATGTTTGGGATTTCTTATTAATAATGAA